AAGCTCACTTGTTGAGGAAATGGAAATACATAATGGATAATGAAATGGAGTTGTGAATAAGTGAGGGAACGTGATTAATGTGAAGAAAGTAGAAAACAAGAAACCCTACAACTCGAGCTGAAAAATTCAAACAAACAAAAAAATGTTGCCCTGGACCCCTAGCCCTAAGTGAATCCAATTTTAATAGAGAAATGTTAAGGATACTCTATTAAAAGTAAGACTCTCTGTAAATTTTCTATCATTTTATGTTTTTTGCATAATATTTTATAATAACATAAAAATTAACATTAAACTGATAAGTTGAAGAGAGTTCATAAAAAATCCCAATTTAAAAAAATCTCTTTAGCAATTTTCATTTTAAGAACTTGGAAGAAACCTCCTAGAGTAAGAAAGGCACTAATAATACCACGAGTAGAAAGTGGAGAATAGTCCAGTTTTGGTACAGAAAATTGAGTCCAATATTTCACCATCATGAAATCGAAAACTTGTGATGTTTTACTTTTTGGCCACTTGGTCATTTTTCATATTTGCAAGAAATTAGACTGCTTTTTTATGGTGGCTCTGACGTGGGGGCTTTTCTGATCATTCAGCTTAAATAAAAAGTTAGGTGAAAAATGATATTCGCCGAATCTTTTTTTTGAGGGTTCTAGAGATTTTATGATCGTGATCATTTATCATATATTGTACGATCAGAAATCATTTTAAAATTTAAAATTTAAAATTAAATATAAACAGTACCTAACGAAAACTGATCGCACAATGTACAATGAACGGTCACGATAACAAAATCTTTAAAATTCTCAGAAAAAGAATCCAACGAGGATCCTTTTCCAAATTAGGTATTACCTGGTCTTAAATAAAACCATATAAAGCCATGAAAAAGCAAAATCCAAAGCTCATTGCTTTACAAAAAAAGACTCAAAAGAAAGTGGAGGAGACAACCATCCCTTTTAGTAAGGTAGTGTTATCCACATATTTATTTTTATTTTTTACACACTTCTCTTGATTTTTTATCGTTGAACTGAATAAATTGAAGAAGATTAATGACAAAAAATTAATAAAAATCTGTAATAATTAGGTAAATATGAATGTGCGAATAACATTATCATTATTTAGCAAGGCATGCAAAGCATCCATCAGCATCTTTGTTTTTAGGTCGGTGCTTGTCTAAATCAAGCTTTAATTTGCTTTTCCACACCTAAACTAATCCTTAGAGATCCACTCTATTTACCTAAACAAACCACTAAACCCTACCTATATGCTTTTCCATCAAGGCATTAATTTAATTTAATTTATAGCTTTTGCATAAAGATGGAAGATTACACAGTGTGATCTTTTGTTGGATTTTGACTGCATTTCATTGGTGGCCCCTTTGTTTAAAGCTTATCCAAATTGATTAAGGAACATAGAGAGTCCTTGCTTTATTAAACTCTCTAATTCAAACTTTATAATTATATCCATGAAATTACAAGGAAACTTTATGAAATGTTATAAGGGCATGGCCTAAAGTAGCAACTGTGCATTTCCATATTGGATCCAATGCCATGGGCATAAAGCAAAACACTTGTCCATCCATAATAAATATCTTTTAACACACTTGTCTTTAATATATTATTCGTTTACACGTCCATTCGTAAATAATTGTGGTCCATTTGTACTGCATCGACAATTTAAAGAAGTTACAGCCACATGAATAAATGATGTCAATATTGCATAAAGCAGTATAAAATTGCTAATGATTTGCACTAGCTAGTGTTGTGATTAAGAAGGATGATGTAAAAGGCTAGGTTGTGTACACTTAGGGCTGGTTTGATGTTGTTTAAATTGTTTTAAAAGTATATATTTTTAAAAAAAATTGGAGTTTTAATTGCGTTTGGTAAATGAAGAAAAAAAACATTATTTTTTCTTTAAAATCATGGGTCTAAATCAGTAGAAAGTAGAAGCAGCAGGTTTACCCATGCTTCTAAAAAAATGTTTTTTTAAAGGCACATTAATCCCAAACTGCCCCTAGCATCACCATTTTTTTTTAAAAAAGGAAAGTAATCATTCATAGTTCTTGCTCCTTAATACTATTAAAATCATAGAAACCATGTCCAATTCCAATGGACAAGGACCTATCAAACAAGAAGGCACAAATCTCTAAGACCATCTCCAATCGAAGGGCCGAAAACAGCCCTAAAGTCGTCTCTAATCGAGGGCCAAGGCAAATGGCTCGTGGGCCTCACTGGACAAAAAAGGGCCAAAGGGCCAACCGGTTGGCCCAAAGGAGCCAATCGACTGGACCAAATAAGCTAACTAACTGGCCCAAAGGAAGTCGTCTCTAATCGAGGGCCAGGCCAACGGGCTCGTGGGCCTCACTGGACAAAAAGGGCCAAAGGGCCAACCGGCTGGCCCAAAGGAGCCAACCGACTGGACCAAATGAGCCAACCGACTAGCCCAAAGGAGCCATAAATTTGAAACCAACAGCTAGCTGACATATCGTTATTTGATTTTTTTTTTTTCGGGCCCAAATTTAAAAAAAAAAATTTAATAGGCCCAGAAAGTATGTTTAGTTGAATGTTTTGGTGTTCTTTTTATAGGCTTTAGTGCTTGCTTAAATCTCTCTCATAGCCGATGTGGGACTCCCACCCACTTTTTTTATTTTTTATTTTTAAATACTCTAAATAAAACCTCTCACATTTGACTTGAAATATATAAGTTGTATTTTTTAAATTTTATTTGTAGTTTTTAAATTTAAGTTGTATTTTTAAAATTTTGTAGTTTTTAAATTTAAATAATAAATTATGTTTGGCTCTATAGCCCTCGGTTGGAGACGGTTTTTTGTAAGAGGGCTAAAACAAGCCCTATGCCCATTTGGCCCTGGGTTGGAGATGGTAAGGCATCTCAACCAAAGGGTTCGAGGGCTGAAAATAGCCCTAAAATCATCTCTAACCAAGGGCCAGGCCGAAGGGCTCGTGGGCCCTACTAGACAAAAAAGGACCAAAGGACCAACGGGGCGGCCCAAATGAGCTAGCTAGTCGGCCCCAGGGCAGTCTAAAAATTTTGAATCAGCTAGCTGTTATTTTTGAAATTTTTTTTAACAATTTTTTTTTTTTGGGGCAAAAATTTAAAAAGAATATTTAATTAAGGCCCAGAAAGGTGATTGGTTCTATGCGGGAATGTTGCTTTTATAAGCATATTTTATTGCTCAAACCTCTTCCACAACTGATGTGGGACAAATATAATGAGTGCCACACATGCAAGCTTATGCTTGCTCAATTCTCTCTCGATGTGGGACAAATATAATGGGTGCCCCAAATATAAGCTTCCTATTAGAGATGGTAAATGTGCATTTATACATGTAACTATCTCAAACTAAGTTGTACTAGTAATTGGACACTTAAATTAAAAAATTAATTTAACATGCAACTGTTAACCATTGCAAGTAGACATGAAAGCAGTGCCAATTACTACGACGAAGTAAGTGTTTTCACAATTTATTTTAAATATTTCATTATATTTCATTAAATTTAAGTTTTTGTAGTTTTTAAATTTAGTTGGAGATAGCCTAAGAAATATGGCACTGCAGTGTTCATTAAAATATTAATTTCTTGGAGGACCAGAGGGCTAAAACGAGCCCTCTGGCCCTCCTTCGACTGGAGATGGTCTAAAAGGACATCATTAAATATAGTCCCATAGTGAAAATGGTTAAATAAATAAATTAGACCTTCCATTACACATATAAGGACCAATAATTCACTATAAAAATTAACAATGCTATTAGGTGACTTGGCATGATAGTAAGCCTAACCTATTTAAATATGTGGCCCCAAATATTCTTGCAACTAATTTCGTATCATTTTTTAACAAACGGTATTACTTACACTAAGAAAAAGAGAGTTGGCTTGGCCTCATATAGGGCATAGCATTTTATATACTATTTAATGTAAATATTTGTTACTTAGTACTACGGTCTAATAATACTCTTCTTCACTTGTAAGTGAGAGGTCTTAGGTTCGATTCTCACCAAAGGTGAATTTGAATCATATTATTGCTAGCCCATTGTGAGGCTAAGCCCAACCCTATCCCCCTAGTGTAGATAATATCAATTGTTCAAAAAAGAAAAATGTAAATATTGTATTTTTAAATTGGTCATGTTTAATTAAAAAAGAAAGTGCACTGTTATTGGTCTTAGGAAAATTAACCCTCGAACTAGAATGTAATATATCGCATAGCATTTTATATACTATTTGATTAATCATTTCATGTTCGTGTCGACACAACCATATTGATAATATCATTTTAGAATTTAACAGGTTATTGTGTTTAGGTATGCTATTTTAACAAACTTTTATTGATTAAGTCCATATCTTAAAACATGATTGCACATAAATAATAACTGCAAGTAATTTGAAAACGTAATATAAGATTCTGAATAAACAATAATTTTGAGCAACCTGGCAATGTAATATATTAAAATTGTAAAACGTTTTGAACTAGCTCTTAGTATAAATATTTGAAGAAATCTCAAGTTCAAATAACACAGTTAAAAAAATAATCAAACATAACTAGGCAATTACGTAATCAAACATAAAGAGAATCTGAATTATCTCTCCTTCCCTCTCATTCTATTTAGACGCTCAGGATTACCTCCTATGTACATTGAGAGAGAAGAAAAGGAAAGGGAGGCAGGAAAGGAAAAAGGGGCAGGGGAGAATCCAAAACCCCGCCAGATTCAGGTGGCCCACCACACGATCAACTTGTTTCGTGTCAGCATCATGATTCTTCCAGATTCTAGGATCCAACGGTCAGATAATCACAAAATAAATAAAATATATTGCATTACTTGTACAAGAAGATCCCGTCATGTTTAATTACCACAAAACCCACATCTCGCGCCATTCGTACAATTCACAAGGGCATTTCCGTAATCTGATGCAACACCAAACTTTTAACTTCATGTGCCGCCCACTTTTTCTTTACGTACTTTTCCACACCGCATTTTACTATTAATACCCACTCCCGCTGCTCTTATTCCCTCCCCCTTCCCTCTCCCTCTCTCCCTGCTAATCTCACCGGAGGTAGCACGGAGATCCCAAATGGAGCAAAAGCCCCGTTACCACGTGGAGGTATACTCCCAAACAGCCTCGTCCCCCCTCGAATTGAAGCGGAGCCCGTCGGAGGTTTGTCTTGGCGAGGCCCTGGAGTACTTACTGGAGAAGCCCATGATCGGTCAGGAGGCCGCCGATACGCAAGGGCACCGCGATGAAAAATTCGGCGAACTTCGGGCCAGAGACCGGAGTTTCGCCGATGCGGATGTATTTTTCGGCGACGTCTGCGCCGGCGACCACAGCTTCGCTTTCCAAAATCGGGTTAGTCACACTCTCTCACTTTACGGGACTTTCGGACACCGGGGTCCAGTCCCACGTCATCCGATGCAATTTGACATGTTATACTATGTGTGGTTTTAATATTTTGACCAAAACGTCGTCGTTGTGGGGTTGGAAAATGAATTTTGCTTAAGAATTTTATGTTTATTTTAAGAAAAAGGTGATGGTATATTGATTAATTAGTTAATTAGTTATTTCTTGGGTAATTAATCATACTGAATTCAAAACACGTATGGCTGTTAGCAAGCCAGTCACATCATGCTTGAAAGGTTCCCACTTTAACAAGTCATTGATGATGGGGAGGCTCATGTCAATTGTTGTAGAAACACACAGAAATCTAAATCCTATAGATTTTTCTTTTAGGAAAATTATGGATTTATTTTCATAACGAAATGATTTTTATGGTTAAGTTAATACTCAAATTTATTTAGACGCTGAAAACCGACACACATACTGTATAAGACAAGTGTATAAAATGAAGTGTGGCATTGTTATATAAATAATTCATTAGCAGCCATTACAAGACAAGTATATAAACTGAAGTGTTAAATGTTGCTGTCTAGCTCCAAGAACAATATTTACTAAGTGTTTTTATATATTCCATGAATGCAGGATATAATGAATGGTTTTTCAAGCAGTCAACTGACAGAAACCCTACTCTGCACTCAAAATCTCACTCCAAAAAACTCCTGCATCTCAGCAGCCATGGATTCCCAGTCATCGATTTGTGGTATGCTTTCGAAAAAAACATGTCAAGCTTGCACCTTTACACTTGCTTATGTGTGTTTTCATCGCTTTTTCTGCGTGCTCTGTTTGTGTTTCGGGCGCCATCTGTTGCTTGTTGTGTGATTTAGTGAGTTTTGATATATGGTTTTTCAGTGGGCAGTCCAACATCGGCTGCTAAACCGATTGGAGGAGATAACCAAACAAGAGGAGCCTACAGTGGTTCCTCCGGAGAACAATCGGATGAGGATGATTTCGAGATAGAAGTTAGTCCGTGTGGAGACGGCACAGAACCCCTCGACATCAAACGCATTAGAAGGTATTATATATGGGAAATAATTTCCGCATACCTTTTCTCCTTCTGCGCACCATCCTTTTTTTCTGTCCTTTGGATTGAATATTCGAAGGCCAATGGACTGAAATAAAGAGAGGTGTGCAGTGAGAACAAGGGTGTGCGGAAAATCGCTTCCCTTTAATATTTTCTTTCTCTGTTTCAATTCTTTTTAAATATGGAATTGATCCAATACTGCATTACCTTTGTCATTAACTTGCAGGAAGGTCTCGAACAGGGAGTCTGCTAGGCGATCAAGAAGACGAAAGCAAGCACATCTTGCGGATCTCGAGTTGCAGGTATCATATATTTTTGGTGGAATCTTTACCAGAACAAAATTTAGAGTGTATTGACCAGTAATTAATTTGTTTTCCATGTGAAGTTTGTGATTATACATCGAATATTTGAAGTTATTCTGATGCAGAAGTTTGATTTATGGCTTTATTTCAGGTTGAACAACTGAGAGGAGAAAATTCAACCTTACATAGGCAGCTAACGGATGCTTTTCAACAGTTCCGCGATGCTGATACAAACAATAGAGTAATGAAATCGGATGTGGAAGCTTTGAGAGCCAAGGTATAAAATAACACCAAGAGTGCTTAAGTGCGGAATGTCAAAACATTAGGCAAAGCAATCGTGACGGTGAAAAATCTTTAAAACAAGCAAACATGTAGGGTTTAAAGAGGGTGGAAAATCTGTAGAACAGAACCTCTGATTTGCCTTGTGCTTGCAAGTGAGTGAAGTAGTGGATATACAGCGAAACAATGACAAACAGTTTTAAAAACACGTCAATTAGCGATTAACGAATACTATATTTCCATATGACAGTGGTAAAATGTCAAGGAATTTTGTCACTAAGGAGCGGTGATTTCATTTTAGGTGAAGCTAGCTGAAGATATGGTTGCTCGGGGCTCAATGACCTCTGGTTTCAATCAAATTCTTCAAGGTCATCTAGGCACGCAACCGCTCAACCCTCAAAATTTGCGCGGGGTAGCAGCACACGTCTCACCGACTATTACCATCCATGGAGAGGATGCTCCGTATGCTGGAATTGCAGTCTCCGGACAGAATGCAAGCTTTGGACTCGGAAATGCTGGTATGGCGAATAGCAATCTGAGTAATCGGATGATGAGCGATACTGTTAGCTGTGTCTCGGATTTGTGGTCATAAAATAAAACGATTGTGATGCCTGTAACCCTGTCAGTTAGATCGAATATGTCTTATAAGATGCTTTAGGCAGATTTCTAAGTAGTTCTTAGAAGTGTCTCCTTTTCTTGGTATTTTTCTTCTTTCTTTTTTATGGTTTTCTAGCTTGTACCAGACTCGTATTTCTCATGTAAAATGTCGCAGTTTATTGAAGAAACTGGAATGTTTTAATTGAAACACGCAAATGTAGTCATCCATTACACCGACGCATCTCATGCATCAGTGCATTCTAGAATTTTCAATTATTTTTTATTTCCACTTGCACACTCCATAAGTCAACAGATTCTTCTTTCTTTTTGTTTATGTATAATAATTGAGGTTGCAAATAAGGAAGATCATGCTGCCAACTGTGTTATACAATTAAGGAAAAATGCTTTTACTTGAAGAAGTGCACATGAAAAGCAGAAACCGCGTTTTGTAGTTGAAACGTTTGGATCCATCCACATATGCTTGTCATCTCCCTAGTTAGAAAAGTAGACACATCAGGGTTGCACGTGCACTGTACTTAATGTCAAAGATTTTATATTCGAGTATGCTACAGTCAATCGTCTATGAATTATGATGATATTTAATCGCAGATCATCCCATCATCCACATTTGATCATTAATAAAAAATTGAACCTTGTTTATATTATTTGGGCGTTTGATCCCAAATTTGATCAGTGGTTAGAAATACATCGCATGCACAAACTTGTTTTTATTATTCCTGCATCTGGCCCCACATTTGGTAGTGCTGACTTAATTAAGTAGTCCAACTGATGTAAGTTTAATATAATTTACAAAAATGTCAGACAATTTACTCTCTTTTATTTGGGTGTGTCTGCACTAGGGGAAGGTGCAAAGTTGCAACTATGATTTATGGATAATTTAATATTTTTAGTTCATTATATAGTGTTCTACCATCACTGTTAATCACACTCCATGTTATCGTAATTGTAATTTGTTTACATAATTGTATTATAAGAGATTATCTAATCGCGTAAGGACTTGTAATGTTAGTGATTAGACATCTTTCTTCATGTCTTTGTTAAGCAAAAAAATGATTTCTCCGTCGAGGTTGAATGATTGAGTTTAAAATAAATGAAAAGAAGAAACAACAAAAATTGGATGGTGAAAAAGAAAAATTATGAGCCCATTGAATTTACAATTAGGGCAACATATTGTTTGAAGAAAATAAAAGATAAGCATCTTGATCTTAATCAATAAGCTAATGACATTTTAATTACCTCATCATTAACTCAAACTCTCGAAAATCAACCTTCCCATCCATATTCAAATCCACAACCTTCACCATCTTCTCAACCTGGTCCATCTCCCACCCACTCCCCAAACCCAAGCATTCCAAAACCCTTTTCAACTCCACAGCCTCTATGAATCCATTGCCATCCTCGTCGAAAATCTTGAATGCTTCGCGCAGGAGCTCGTTGCGCTCGGACTCATTATCCTCCAATCCACCAAGGACCTCCTCCACTGGCACTTCATGATCATCCCCTGGCAAATCGAAACCCGTCTGGTCTTCCTCATTACGTATTAGTCCAAGATTCTCCACGACAAGCCGCGCCTTTTCCTTCTTGATTCTTCCATTTGTTTCCATCCCAAACACTGTGATCAGTGCCCTTGCCATGGATTCATCAACTTTGGTTGCAATATTTTGTGGTTTGCATTTGGAATATTGGTCACGTTGATCTTCATGAACAATGTGAGCTCCTTTGCTTGTTGAACTTGATGGGACCCCTCCAATGGCTTGAACCAAGTCACCAAGTAATCTAAAGCAAACTCCTGTAATTCCCATAATGCCACTGCACAGAAAGCCTAATCAAGTGTGCAGAAAATATGGAGAAATATGTGAAATGTGTGTGATTTCCTTCAAAAGTGACTACAGTTTATATAGTGTTTGTCATGATGAAATGCCCGGTTTTTTTTGGTGAATTACACAAGTGCCACTCCAACATTAATTATGATAATTGTGATAATTATTGTTTGATAAGTCTTTAAGATTCTTAAGAAGCTGGTAATTGGCATTGAATATGAATTTTTAATTGGAACTGGTGCAATACACAAAGGATGCTGTCATATTTGTTTTAGGGTTGGTCGGTTTAATCAGCAACACTTGGAAGAAAATAAATTACTGGTCAGAAAAGTAAATTCGGATTAAAACAAATTAGTTGTATTTTAAAAGACACTTAAGATTAATATGATTACAATACTTGCTATGAATTCGACAAAAAAAAAAAAAAAAAAAAAAAAAAAAAAAAAAAAAAAACCTTGCTATGAAAAACCAAGCATGTCAAATAAGTTTTGACCATATTTGCTTGGCCTTCAATTTAAGATGAATGCCAATTATCTTCCCCTTGTATTATTTTTTTTTAAGTGAAAAAAGACACAAAAAGTCTTTTTCATATATATATATGGTAACGGTATCACATCTAACTTCAACTTTGAGATGAAATAGTACACGTGTTTGTTTAGAAGTATTTTTAAAAGAACTAAAAACGATTTTAATGAAAATATTTTTACAATCAATATTTAATAAAATTTAAAAACTCAAGTAAATTCTGAAAAAATATTTAAAGTGCTTCTAGATTTGAAAAATAGTAGTCATTTAGTGGCCACCTAGAAACCAGAAAAAGGAAATAATATAGCACTTGAAGCAAGGAGTCATCAACCGTTGGAGATGATTTAAAACACTCAAGCTTAAAGAAAAAAAAAAAAAAAATCAGATTTAGTGATATTGTAGAAATGATTTTCTTTTGTCGGAAGCATATCCTTTCTGGACTCTCAGCGGAGATTAGAAATCAATTTTTAAAGGCCACAATAATTTAATCCCTAAGCTCAGGTGGTGTAGGTTCGGAGATGATTTGCATTTTTTTTTTTTTTTTTTTTTTTTTTTTTTTTGGTAAATTACATTTTACTCATTTAAATTTGAAATTGATTGCAATCGCATATAATATATTTAAAATACTTTAATTTCATACATTTACTTATTAATTCATTTTAATTTCATACATTCGTGAAGTAAACCGTTAAGTGATGACGTAGTAAATATAACATTCACATTTATGTTGACGTAGTTACCAAAATTGTGTCACGTGGTAAAAAAAATAATTTTTTTATGCATTTAAAAATAATTAATTAAAAAAAAAAAAAACCTAAACCCTGGTTTTCCCCGACCCACTGCTCGCATTCCCCTCCCGCTCTAAGCCAGCAACACAAAAATGGCCGGATCTACTCTGCTCCGCCACGTTCTTCTCACCATCTCTCTTGCTTTTCCTTTCTATCATCCCGTTCCACATCTTCTTCCACCTCACCTTCACCTCTGAGAAACCATCTCCACCATCCGCTTCAGAACCCCACCTCAACCCCCTTTGCTCCGACGCCACACCAGATTACTTCCTTCCTCTTCCCAATCCCATTTCGCAGCAATGGAGCGGATTCCCACCCTGTCCCATCTCTCCCCTCTGAGCATTCTCGATTCTAATCCCCTTAGCACCACCGCGGTCCGATTAGAACCTTGCACGCCGCCCTCTTCGTCCTCAGGTAGGTTGACGAGGAAAAGATGATGGTTTTGAATTTTGTGAAATAAAATTTCGAAATCCATGAAATTTCTGGGATTTTTTTCTTTCGGATTGAGAGCGAAAATAGAGAGATTTTTTACGGAGATTTGGGGAAGAAGAAGAATCAGAAGAATTTGGCGAATTAGAGACTGAGGGTTTTGGGATTGGGAGGGGTGGTGCGCTGGTGGTTAGGGTGGAAGAAGAGATCCGGGCCTGTGGTCGGGTGGAAGAAGGGGGGTAGGCCCCTTTTCATTTTGTTATAATTTAATTTTGTATTTAAGTTTTTTTTTATGATGTGGCAGATGAATATTTACGTGTCCAAGTTTTGGAGGAAGTGGGCTGACGTGTTAGGACTTGGATCGTCTCTTGAGCCCAAGGAGAGAATCCTCCTGATCAAAACACTTGGGTCGTTGGATGAAAATCCAACGGCTACAAACATGAGCTTTCTTTAAAGTTATAATAATTATAGCCGTTGAATTTTCATCTAACGGCCTAAGTACTTTGGTCAGGAGGATCCTCTTCTTGGGCTTAGGTGAGGATTCAAATCCTACGTGTAATAGGTTTATTATTGCCATGTCAGATTTTAACAGAACAATGGATAGAAAATGTAACGGATGTATTATATTCAAATAAAATAGTATATGAGATATGAAAATGAAATTTTTTGAAGATATTATATGAGGTTACAATATATCTCAAACCTTATGTGGTAAAATATAATTTACCCCTTTTTTTTTTTAGAGTTTTAACTAAAAGCTCGCGGTACTATTTACTTTAACAAAAAATCACATTTTTACGCTAAAAAGTTAAACCTGGTACTATTTATTTTACCCTTTATTTTATCTTTATCGTTACAACTCAAAATTTTCAAATCTTATTTCATTAGTTTTCGTTTTTTTTTTCTTCCACCTATAATGTCAGAAACCGCGTTTTGCAGTTTTATATTCGTATTTGCAACATTAATTTATTCACTTAATTTTTTCCAATTAAGTTAAATAATTTTCTCTGTCTAATGAATGCACTGCCCACCATCTCACGTGGGATCTACAACACACTAATTTAAACTTTCCTCCTATTCTAATCTTTCACGTGGATGCAAGTTCATTCAAGAAATATTATGCATTGGAGGAAAAAAAAAAATTTTGGATCGTCCAGCTTTTAAATTTAGACAAGAAATTCTTTTAACAGATTGTATACAATTATGTGTTTATCCCACTTGTCATACGTCAAATTTTATAAACAAATAAAATTCTTGAGTGTCGCCAATTAAGTAAAATGTTATGGGAGAGAGAGAAGAAATAATGTGTAAGGGAAAGAAATATGCTTTTTTTTGGGTTAATTACATTTTACCCTCTCAAGTTTGAGATCGATTGTAACATCATACAACATTTTTAAAACATTTCAATTTCATACATTCACTTATCATTTTATTTCAATTTCATACATCCGTTAAAAAATCCGTTATGTAAACCGTTAAGTAATGACGTGGGTGGGATCCACATTTGTGCTGATATGGCTGCTGAATTTGTGCCACGTGTCATTAAGGACCCATGTGGAAAAATAAAAAAATGGACAAAGACCGGCCATTTCTGGGGACGAAGGTGAAGGCTAGACAAAGCCCATCACCTTCTCTTCTCCTCCCGCTGCAACATCTCTCCTTCCGGTAACCCGCTCGCACACCGCCACTTGTCTCACCCCATCTGAAGCCCATAACTCCCGCTCCATCAACAACTTCAACGTCCTCGACGACTCCACCGTTGAGATCCTTGACACCTGGCTCAACACCCTCATCAAATTTCTTGTCCAGCCTCCGATTCCAAACTATGGCCTCCCAAAATCGAGTCCTTCCGCGACAACTTGATCCAATGCCCAAAATTGTGGCTAATAAAATTTTGGGGATTAGGGTTGGGTGTACGTTGATTTGGGAAGAGAGGAAAAAAGGGGGGGGGGGAGGTGAAGAGAGTGGAGGAGAGGGAGAAGGTGGGTCGAGGAGGTGAAGAGGGAGGAGTGGGTTGGTGAAAACATGGGTTTTAGGGTTTTTTTTAATTTGTTTTTTTATTTTTAATGTTTAAATAATTATTTTAGTATTTGATATTATGATTAAATTAAAATTTTTAAATGCTTAGATTTTTTTTTTTTGCCACGTGGTACAAATTTGGTAGTCACATCAGCACAAATGTGGATCCCATATTTGCCACATCATCACTTAACGGTTTACTTAACGAATTTTCTAACGGATGTATGAAATTGAAATAAAATGATAAGTAAATGTATGAAATTGAAATGTTTTAAAAATGTATGAGGTTGTAATTGACCACAAACCTGAGGGGGTAAAATGTAATTTAACTTTTTTTGTTCTTGTCGAAGGGAAAGAAATATGTTGGATCATTTCTAAATAGTTTTGGACGAGACACGAAAGATTCTTAAGTATCACAAATTTTGTACATTATGTGTCCACCTCTCTCATTGTAGGGGCAACTTCTAAACCCTCACGATAAATAAAAAAATTCTTATGTATTACCGTTATAAGGCCAGCTTCAAAATTCTCATGATAAATAAAATAATTCTTACGCATCACTGGTAATGTACAACAAAATGATAGAGATACAGACGTTTGTATATGACAGAATTTCTCATTGTGCCATAATTTCAAGTTGAGTGCATTAATATGCTAAAATCAATGGACAAGGAAATTTTTTATTTTAATTTTTTATTGTCAAGATGAGAGAGAGAGAGAGTTCAAAACTATTACAATAATTTAATAGATGAGAGAGTTTCAATCCTGAGACGCATGGGGTTGAAACCCAATACCCTAAGCATTTCAAGTGTGCTCAAATTTTCACTTTTAATATATGTGCTGTATAAATTAAAATCACTATAACTATATACACTCATTCATCTGGGGTAAATACCATATTCTTCTGGGGTTGAAGTTTGTAATGATAATGAAGGGTAAAATGGCTTAATTACCAGCCTCAATTAATCAGAGGTTTTCCATCACTAGGTGCCGTTTCTGCGAATCTCAAATAATCTGCCGGCACCGGAATATTTAACTCTGAACAAATGAAGTGGACTATCTTTCCGGTCTCTGCACCAAACACCATTTTATTCAACGTTACAGCAATGGAGAGCCTATTTTTTATGTCACAGAAAGCAGTTGAGCCACCCATTCCTGAGTGGCCAAAGCCAATAAGGGACCCGTCCTGGGAATAATACCTCCTAAATCCCAGTCCAAATTTCCCATCTGGTTTAACCAAGTTTGCATATTCGCCAACGCCCATGAAAGCATCATGAATTCTGGGGTTGCTAAATATCTTAGCGCTGTCCTTTTGAGGATTAGGATTCACAACGACCTCATCCAACACGGTGTCACTTGCGTTGCAAGTGTTACTGTCGCTGCTCGTGTTTCTACTGTGACTACCAATGTCGTGGTCCTTGCTATTTTGTGTAGTCTTCTCATACGTATTAGTTCTCATATTCCTAAAAGCAGCAGCTATCTTCTTGCTTCTGTTACCTTTCTGCTGTTTTGGTGACGGTTGAGCAGGAAATTTGGGAATGTGAGGGTGGCTACCAAGAGCTGGCTTAGAGGAAGAGGAGTGAGGCAGTGGAACAACACCGCCATCAGCTAAGGCTGCATAGTAACGTGCAAGTGCACGGGCTGAGAAATGTCCATTAGCTGCAGGTATCATGGCACGACGAACGTTTAGCATGTTAAATAGAACGGGCAATGCAGTTGCGAATTGCTCTGGCTGGAAAGTGGAGGGCATATCGGGACGGCCCCTAATTCCTGAAAGCTTCTTCAGGTCTCCTGTATCAGGTGTAAGGGTTGCAAGTCGAGATTCCACACCTAGGAGAAGAGCAAAAAGGCATGGTAATTAAAAAATGAAATCCCAGGTTCACTGTTACCAGAATACATCCTGACAAATTACTGAACCAATACTTTCGTATTGACTGAAAGCAACAGAAAGCAAAATAGTATATCAACTCAAAGAAAGAAGTGCAATTGCAGAGTCATGACATGTATTCATACGTTTAATGAAGCAAAAACATAGTATACTTGCCTGGAGGTATTCCGATATAAAACTCCCCTTCTATTTGGAGGGAACGAACAAATGCTTCTTCAAGAATCTCCTTGAATTTCCTCTTCGATGCATGCTGTCCCACCCGAACAGATAATTAGAAAAATGGTCAAAGCAAGCATTGAACATGAGATTCACGTTCATACAAACAATGATTCCAAGAGATACTAAAAAGTAATGAAAACAATAGATGTTAAAAATTGCTCTGAATGGTAGGCAACTGTACCTCGATGATTCCACCGCATATCCAACCAAAAGTTAGGTAGTGATACAGCTGCTCCTGCCCAGGTTCAGTCTCAGGTTCTGAAAGGGCAACGCGGTTTAAACACTCCTCCCAGTCTGAGATAAGCAAAGGGTTTTCTATGAGGTCTGCCACGGCATTGTGCAGTCCAGAGGTATGGTTAAGGACATGATGGACCTGAAAATCAAAGGAAAGTACAAACAAAACTTATAGCTTTAGTGGATATTGGATTAAGAATATCAGAAATTGAATCACAAAGTATATACCTTTATGTTATGTTTTCCACATGATCCAAATTCTGGCCATATATTTGCTACATCTTCCTCGAGGTTCAATTTTCTGAAAGGGCGGAAAAGTTAAAACAATTTACCGTACTTACCAACATAATGCATAAAGAGACATTATAAATCCCTCGTCAAGTCATTATAGTTAAAAGTAACATACATGGCAGTTATTTTGTCAAACTACTCCTGAAGCCATGCAGGTAATGCCTAAAATATCAATTATTTCTCCGTATGGATCACATTATGGAAGTTTTTATACCAAGATTGATTCCCCTGTTGTGCAGAATGGAATGGGATCCCAGGCCACCTAACACAATGAGATACAAGCTACAAGCTATGAAGACGCAAAAATAGAAACGATCTTATTCTAAATCAGGTAAAACCATATAACATGCCCAAATGCCTCAGGCACATATTTTATACAGCAAAAAGAAACATGGAAATAGAATTGACAACATGGAAACATACTAATACTCACCCAATGTCTACCAGCCAATGTAACATTCCAGCCGTTATACCCTTTGTAGCAGAAAAAACTGGGAAAAGGCTGTCGGGCTGAACTGGACGAGGATCATATCTACCAAGCACTCCAGCAGCAGTGTCAATAATAACTTCCCCGTCTTTGTAGGCACATACCTTAATTCAAAATCATGAAAGCTTGATTAAACTATAATTCGAAAAGAAAAATAGTCAAGTTTAAAAACAAACAATCAATTTTTTTGAAGTACAAAAGAAGTAATAATAATATGAAACAACTGTTGTGTACTTCATTCACTACAAAAATAGAGGTAAAAATAAATAAACAATTCCAAGGGCATCTAGCGATCTAGTTCTTTGATCTATTAACATAATGCTTTAACAAGAAAAGATCAGCATTCATAGAACACGCAACACAATTGTCACGAAGTGAAACTTGCACTGGAATATAAGAGAGCAGAAAGATCATACAATGTCAAGCTTTATTAAACAATATACACAAATGGAAAAGGACTATTCAAATTTTCACGGCATCATATCAACAGATAAATT